GTGTTATAAAATATCCATCTTTTTTGCTCCTCAGCTGAAAAAAAGAATAATTTGTTTTGGTAAGTTCTTTCTTTAATTTATTTTTGTTCTGAGATCATTTTCTTACGATTAACGAAGAAAACTTGTACAAAATAGGCTATGGGGAAGAAGGTCAAGGAGACGCCATTTGCAATTCGCGAACTGGTAATCAAGCACCATCAGGGCGATGCCAATGGGAAGAAAACCCAACAAGAAATTGCAAATTTGCTTAAAATACCTCGTTCAACAGTTCAGTATATAATTCGGAAGCACAAATTATGTGGACTAATTGTAAACAAGCAAGGAAGAGGTCGAAAGCCAATATTCTCTAAGAGAGAAAAAAGTGCCATTATCAAGAAAGTGAAGGTCAACCCAAAATTGACAATTTCTAAGATCAGAGATCAAGTTGCAAATGAAACTGGAAAACTAACCTGTCGTAACACAATCATTAAAGTAATCAAGTCTGAAGGATTTAAGAGTTGCAGAGCCAGGAAGAAGCCACTCATTTCAAAGGTCAACCAGAAGAAACGGATTGCGTTTGCAAAGGAGCATGTGAATAAGCCCCAAAGTTTTTGGAATTCGATCTTGTGGTCTGATGAAATCAAATACAACTTATTTGGGTCGGATGGACGTGCCAGAGTTTGGAGAAAATCGGACGAGGCTCTAAAATTGAAGAACCTCAACCCCACCGTAAAACACGGCGGTGGAAGCGTTATGGTTTGGGGCTGCTTTAGCTACGCAGGGACTGGAGGTCACGAATTCTTAAACGGGACTATGGACCAACACGTGTACCAGGGTATATTGTCCCGTAATATAAAGCAATCTGTAGCAAAACTTGGTCTTGGGCGCCGCTACACGTTCCAACAAGATCGTGATCCCAAACACACTGCGAAGACTACATGGGAATTCTTCAAGAAAAACAAGATAAAAGTGCTGGAATGGCCCCCCCAAAGTCCGGATCTGAATCCAATTGAGCATTTGTGGGACCATATCGAAAGACGGATCAGAAACTATTATATTTCAAACAAACAGGACCTAAAAAATGCAATTTCCGATGCATTCGAAACTGTGACCCCGGAAGTGACAAAGACTCTCGTCGAATCGATGGGTCGCCGCTGTCAAGCAGTAATATCTGCTCAGGGTGGGCCAACACGTTACTAAAAATTACTTTTACCGATCATTTATTACAAGATTGTTAAAAATACGAAGTTAAATAAAAATGATGGATAATTTCTGACATCCGAATTTTGAAAGCTCGCGGTAGAAGACATTATTTCCCCATATTGAAATTTTTTTGAGACCTGATTACGTGACATTGTACTACCAATTGGTTGGTCTACTAGTGACAAAAAAAAGTATTTGAATATCTACTGTACTTTTTAAGAAATATACATTTGAACGATAAGCTTGTCCAATGATGGATAATTCCTGACATCAGTGTATGTATGTATGTGAATAAGGGAGGCAAGACGTTAAGGGTTCACCTACATACTTAAAGACTTCACTTTATTACATCAGTATGTAATATTACCAAATGGAAAGAAGAATAATGTAGAGATAGTAACACAAGGAGAGGCGGATTCAGTCTGCTGAGAAACATGCACTTGGCTGATACATAAGTAGAAACGGGGACGTGTACTGCCACGTCGCCATAAAAACTGGACTAGAGGTCGACGTCGATGACACAATCGGCGGCGTGAGTTTTACTAAGGTTCCGCGGCGGTGCCAAATTTTAAGTAGTTTCATAGGAACCTATAAATTTCAAATTTTTAGTTCGAAGAATCAATGTCTGTCCTGTAAAAAGAATTATGTTCGCAATCTTTTATGTTTCTCTGTATCTATAGTGTTAAACCTGATTTATAAAAACGTTATGTGTGCCGGTCCGTCTAGATGTAGGATACTGAGACCAACGACCAAACTGTGCAGCACTTTTGAAGGTAAAATTATAACATCTATGTATTAATCCTTTTTTCTAATAAAGGTACATACCTACTACTGCCATATATTCTGTCTCAAGCATTCCGCGCGCAAAAAACATCAGTAGCAGTTACGTTAGCCAGTTGTACTGTTTTTTATTGAATTCCCCATGCAATGGTCTATCAGAAACCATCTTCCGAAATTTTTTGTGATACAAGGTGCTAAAATGACAGATCGGACAAATCGACGTGTTGCACTTTTTCAGAAACATCTTTGCAAACATAAAAATTCGGCATTTTTCAATAGATCATTAAAAATCGGAACTAATTGCAAGATGGTCGACCATACCATAAAATGATCCACTAACATTGGCAGTGTTGATAACCGAAAACCGAGTTGAAGGGAACGGTCGAAAAGGTCACAAAAAGTCACGAAGGCGCACAAAACCTGAACTCGGCTGAATTCACGCCGGATCCTAAGAAAAATTTCCCTACAAATGAACGGTCAAAGTAAAACTACGTCCCAGGCCCCTAAACTCGACCTTGGACTTATGTTTTTAAGATGTGAAAAGAAACACTTGCTAACTTCACGCCAAGTAAAAATAGGACCCTTGAAAGCCGGGCACTGATCATGCAGTACGCGCTTGAAAAATGGAAATAAATATTTTTGAAAAATTAGTAAACTTTCACAATTTAGGTTATATAAAATCAGCAAAATCACTTTGTCCACACCCCACCAGTCCATATTATTCATAAAATTTTTTAAAATATTAATCGGACCCACCATCCAGATTCTGTGATTTTTTTATTCGGCGTAGATTGGATTTGGTCAAAACAGTGAATTGTCTTCCTCTGGGGGTGAAATTTCTTGTCAAAAAGTATTTTTTGAAGTTATCGAGCGAATGGAAGAACCACTGGACCACACTCTATTAAAAAATAGCTGCTAAGTATTCGAGCAGGGCTCAGGACCTGCTGATAAGGCCAAAATAGTAAAAATGGGGTAAAATTCCAAAATTTCTTACTCCATTTCGGATCAAGAATAAAATTCACTGTCGCCGAACCTCAACCTTCTGGAATACGATATGTGGTCCAAACTGAAGCTAGATACATGTGCTAAACACCACACAAGTTTGGAATCCGAGAAAAAATCTGTCGCTTAGAAATGAGACTAATATTCCTTGGAATGAGTGCGTACCGCGAGTGAGATGTGGATATCTAGACTTTGGGCTATTGTAGCTTCGAAAGGAGGAAATTTTGAAAAGTGCCCGGTATATTTTGTAGGGAATTTAATAGGCTTTCTCATGATATCGTTCGTTTTTTAAAATTCACTAAACTGAGTCCGCTACATTAATTTGTTTAGTGGTCAAAACTTATGGCAGTAGTAGGTATGTATCTCCAAAATATTTGTATCTTCGTTCTGCAAACTAAACAAGGAAAATTCAGCTGGTCAAAATCGGAGAAAATTTGTTCATGCACACGAGACAACTAAATGTAAAGTCTGGTTTGAAAGTCCGATACTGGACTGAAAACATTGGTACAACTTTTCCTTTGTAATTTTGCATAATTAGAAGAAAATGAAAGTATTTAGGCAAACTAAAATCGGCGCCAGATTTTTTTCGCCTAGAACCTTGCCCCGGTGTTGGCAGCACGTGAAATAGTCCGACGTCGGCGTCGACATATACTAGTTTAGACTGAACATCTTACCCTTTAGATACATACATAATTGTATGAAAAGCTACATACATTTACAAATACATATAACAATAAATGTCAAACATAAAAATAGCTAGACTATACTGCCCACATTCTAGTCCATTCTACAGATATTTCGCACTTACGAATATTAGTATTTTTCTGTTGGACAATCGAACTAAATACTTACAGAATTTCGCTTGTACTTACATATGCAGCTTTGTAAATTTATATGTTCAATCCCTCAAACATGCATGGCTTGAATTGAATTACTGAGGGTTACTTATCCTATTTGAAGCAGTCTAAAGACAAGCCTAAAAATGTAATATCGACAGGAATATCTTTGGAAAAATTGCAGCATCCCACTACTACATATTGTTTGGGGAATTACTTGTTTAACCCAATTGCTATATTTTGTTTGCTTTCCTTTACTTTTACCAAGTTTAAGATTTTTTAAAGGAAAGATATACGGATGGTGAGTTTATTTAATACAGGTTAAGGAAACTCCCGGGGTTTTGCCATCGTAATCCTTACCCAGGGTTTTACATATTTAGGTTTTTCGGGTAATCGGGGGCAAACTGAGTCACTGTCTCATGTATTAAGTTGTGAAAACAATCGGCTTTTTAAAAGCAATTTCGAAACAGAGCTGCTTCTTAATTCAAGTCCAATAACTTATTAAATTATATGATTTTTAGTAAAGCCTTATTGTTGTCATACTTTATTAAAGTTGAAAATCCCAACTACCCGTCGGTTTGCTCAAATTTGCTACCCCAAAACCCACGAAAACCTGTAAAATCCCAATACCCTAAAAAACTCGGGTAGCATAAATACCCTGGTTTAATACCCACGTTGTGATTTTGGTACATGCATTTTTGACTTAGATATTTTGTGTTGGTGAGAAAACGTCTCCTCAATCATAACCGAAAAATAGAGCACCATGCATATATTTGTACCCAAATTATTTAGAGTGTAGCATTTCTTAATTTTCTCATAGTCCTCACTATCTATTATGGAGTCACGCAATAAGGATTGGACGACAATAAATGATAAAACTGAGAATAAAACACGCAATTCTACTCCATTTATCTACACTCTAAATAAAGTTGTGGAAAATTTCTAAGGTTGTGCAAAATTTTGTCCAAGGTTGAGTAAAAAAGAGGATGACACAACCCGTGGTTAAATTTTACTCCATTAGTTATCTTTGTGCGTTAAGGACATTTATAAAATAAGACGAGACCATGAAAGCTTCACGATTTTAACCGGTAGAGCAAATTTCAAGAAAATTGGGTATTAAGCATATTTGATGTAATTATCTACTTTATCATCATGAAACACCTTAAACTGCATCTTACTCTTAAATTACATTTCACAAGGTTTTGTTCAATAATCTTTAAACATTAGGGACCTCAGCTTTATAGACAACATCCAACCCTGCCGTATTACCTCGGTGTGCATGTTTTTCGAATAATTTGTAAATCAGAACTCCTCCCAAGGCTGACAGGGAAATTAAAACCATTCCACCAAATAAAAACAATATGATCCCCCAGAGATTTGAGGTAGTCAAGCAAAATCTGCCAGCATCACAGTCATCCCGATCTTCCTCCTCGTCTTTTCCACATAACCGGATAGATAGCGGGTAATATGGACTCGTGCCAGTGAGAAGTTTCTGGACATAATAATCCCTCGATTTTCCCCCCGTTTGCAAAACATGGTATCCCCGGGTTACTTTACAACCTTCTAAAGCGTAAAGGACCACACATTGACCGTAAGTTCGAATGGAGCGATGGGCTTTCGTCTCGTCCAACTTGACGCATCCAGCACTCAGGTTGATATTGGTAGGGTGACCTAAAAATTTTCAGAAAACTAATATTAGTATCCAAACAAATAATGCTTCACTCCAGAGGCCGACGCCTACAAATTTTCGGCTGCGGCGGCGCCAATTTTTGGTGACTTTTCGGCGGCGCGGCGCGGCGGCGCAATGTTAAAGGAATAGGAAATAGATTTCGGCGGCAGCGGCGCGTAAAATGCTACAGGCGTTCGGCGGCGCCGCGACGTACAATCGGCGGCGTCGACCTCTGCTTCACTCTTAGAAATGGGGTTACGATTACTTATAACCAAAAAGTACACGTGTGTCACTCTATCGCCGTGGTTGTCAAATTATCACCAACTGGTTATAAATTTATTCGCTCTGGTGACAATTTAATACCAAATCGGTGAAACTTTATAATTATTCGGTGACAATTGTAACCACTTGATGACAAATTTCTAACCACTGCGGTAAAGTCACATACGTTTACTTTTCAGTTATAATCGTAACCCTGATTCTAAGAGTGCTGTCAATTTTGATTCGAGTCCCTGCAACTCACCATAATATCCGAAATAGTCATAAAACGTGACCATATTTTTTTCCAGGGCTGTCGGAAGTGGATCTGGATTGATGAGGGGAACAGATTTATTGCAAAATGCGCCACATCGAGACACAGCAAAGGCCGTGGCAGCATCGTTTATGTCTCCCAAGCTCCATTTATTGAGGGCGTTCAGTTCGATATATCCAGGCCGAAATTGGGTGAATTCCCCGCCACAGCTGGGCGCAGAGTGTAGCTCGATGCAAGCGTTTGCATCCCCACTGATTTTCATACCAGGGGAATCATATGAATGTCGAGTAATTAGGAAACAGTCGTCCGTATCGACCATGATAGTGGTTGTGTTACCTGTGGAGAATAATGCAATTTATGGAAAACTTACTGTATGCATAAAATAAACCCATACAAACGAAGTACATATTATTACATAACTTACAAACGATAAAAAAGTAACGTCAGAAGTACAAATATGACCCCTTCAACCAAAGAGTGATAGATATCCTGGCTTTGAGGTCAAAATGGAGGTCACGATTGAATTTGTCGATGGAAAAAATGCGTAAATTTCCATTTGTTACGGATTCGGGATTGAGATTTTTAATTAATTTTTATCAAAACTTGTAGAACACTGATGACAAAATTCTTAAAATATTGAATTTCAAAGGCAAAATTTCCGTAACTAATGGAGATTTGTGAAGTTTTTCCTTGACAAATTTTCCATTGTAGGCTGACATTTAAACCACCCTGTATATTTATGTATGTACCGTCCAAGTGATGGCCCTCATAGAAGGTGACCTCAACTGGGTGTTTTTCATCGCCCTTCCAATTTCTGGGGTCACACCGGTCAAAACAAGGGCCGACTGATCCAATACGTAAATCCTCCTTGATCAAGTCGTCCCCTACCCAATGATAAGTTTTTAGATCGTTAAGAGGCCGAACGTACATGCTGGCCCGAATAAAGGACCCGGTGCAATTTTCTTGAGGATAAATATTAAAACATTTTCCAATCGTTTCTATCTTGTATATTCTTCCGCCCGGTGCGGTTGGGATGGTTGGATTGCAGTACGAAGTGTTATAGTATTTTTCATATTCTCCATAGACCCCGGGCCAACTGTTGGTGTGAATAATAATTGAATTTGTGGAGCACGCTAGAAGGATCGACGTTAAGGTAAAGTAGTAGAATTTGAATGAATTTGTGGACATGATAAATGGGAAAATTATGTAAAATTGTGGATGTGTTTAAGTTGTGGAAGACTAAATGTGTGCCTTTTGGGCCAGCTGGAATTGGGATAAATTTGGGTGTGTATGTAAATATTTATGTATTGAGATGAGATACGTATGTAAATGGATAGGTAGATATTAAGCCATGAAATAGCTTGATATGAGTGGACGCGTAGAGAATTCTCGGTCCAAGATTCTCATCTCTCGCTCATTTTCTCCACTTATGTACAATGTACGCAAATCGGGTACGAGAGCCGATGAGAAAAACTATGTATCTATATAGCGAAGCTACATCAGTCATCGATGATATTAAGCAGCTTTTAGTGAATATGGGAACGTCCATATACTACGTCATGAAATAAGAGGAGTGGGTGGTGTTTGGTCTTATCTTATTCGTGTTAAGATTAACATGAGGAGCTTACGAAAAAGGTGGGTGTAAAAATTTGCGTATTTTTGATGACGTAATATATGGATGGTCCCTCTCTGGCTGTGGCTCTGTTCACCTTTGACCTATTACTATGCATAAAGAGGGAAGAGTATGAGTTGAGTATATAATTTAGCATGTTAAGTCAACTTATGAATGGATATCTATACGATGCATTTGTCTAAGGACCATCCATATATTTCGTCATTAAAAATACTCGATTTTGGCACCCAATGTATAAATGAAGGGATAGGAAATTTTTATATGGGAAATATAAGATGATCTAAACTTCTCACCCGTATTGATAGCGTAATATGGGTGTAAACGGTGGTTGGCGCGCAGGGTGTCCTCCCTACCGATACCAGACTTGCTAGTTTGGGTCAGCGCACCACACCGCGAACCACACCAAGAAAAATCCAAAATTAAGCGCACCACACCGCGAACCACACCAAGAAAAATCCAAAATTAAGCGCACCACACCGCGAACCACACCAAGAAAAATCCAAAATTAAGCGCACCACACCGCGAACCACACCAGAAAAAGTCTGAAACCCAGCGAACCACACCGCGCTCCCCACCGGGTGTGGTTCGGTGCGCATTTTTTGCGAACCAGTGGTTCACTGACTGCTTGAAGATACAACATACGAGTTATGTTTAAAAAATGCTGTGGTTTGTAGAAAAACTCCTGCATAAATAATTTTAAAAATGCAAAATTTTCGCATTTTCACCAGTTTGATCAATTCAGAATGGAGCATTTTGTTATTCTTTATAGGAAATGTATTTTATAATTAATCCAATGTTTCGTGGTGGTTTTAACCGCCGGCTAAAATAGCTTTCAAAAAATGGTTTTTGCCACTTTTGGACATCATACATAGTTCTGACCTGCAAAATGTCTGGATTATTTATTGACAGATATGTTATCTCCTCTTCATTTTGAGCATATTATGTACATAGTATGGTGCGGCACGATTTAGAGAATTTATGATTGATTTCTCATAAGATATTTTTTTTACATGTTTGCGTATTTAATAACACATATTTAGTAAAAGGCTTTCTTCAAATTTCGTGGTATTGCTAATTACATTTCCCAAAATTTAAAGGACATTATATCTGAAAATCTATTTACCAAACGTCACGAAAACCTAAGCTGAAGGAAATTGACAAATTTTCCCATTAGGCAATTTTGGACACTTCAAGTAAAAAATAGTTGTATACGTCTAAAACGACACACTGAATTCATTCTTGACCAAAATTTTTACCAAATTTTAAAATAGCACCAAAGGTTATAAGGTCCATTTGTGATCAACAAAAGCGACCGAACCGCAGCTCCGAACCACAGCCCCGATGTGTGATAAGGGCCAACATCACACAAATTCACAAGATGTTTGAAATGAAAATCTTGAAATACACGCAACGGGAAAGAAATAAAACAATCGAATCCAGTATTCTGAACCAATTTAAAAAATAATAATTTCCACTAAAGAAGTTAATTGAATCCATTTAAAATATGAAAACTTGTTAACAAATTATTTAAATATAAGTAGGGTAGACACAATAATGAATCGGTCAAACCCCCTTAGCATTAATTATGTAAAGTTCAATTCGCAATATTTTAACATTAAAATATTTGTAGATTCAACAACTTTATATCTCCATTCCTTCGGAAAATTGACATAAGGTACACAAGTAGTCCGATATGTGGTTAATAAATGGTATGAAAATAATTTTGATAGATGTAATTGTTCTTGAGAAAATTGAATTGGAATTTGAAATTAAAAATCGCAGTATTAAATAATTTACATGCTGTATTTAGTCATGTGACTAAAAGTCTGGTTCATTAAATGAGTCACTGTCGACAGGATATCTATACCAACTTTCGGCGATATGGATTTTCCCTGTTGCATAAATTTTGAATTCAAATCTAAATTTTAAAATTCATTTAAAAAATTTAGAATGAAAATTTTTCCGAATTATTTTTGTGACGTCAGGAAAAAATGTCAGACACACTGCTGGCCTGCGGCCAGCAGGGTGTCCTTTTCTGCCTTCGGTCAGCAGGGTGTCCCGACACGCTCGACATTGAGGTGGGAAAGTATGGTTCGTACGTATTAATCATACTCCGAGTTGATTTTGTATAAGTCGTTTAGTTTTTGGATTAGTGAGGACTCTGGGAAGCGAGGTTTTGGCAGGGAAGAGATTTAAATCAGTGCCACGAGCTGAATTAGCGCATTAGTGAAATTCAAAAACCATGGGCGTGATTATTTATTCGCGGTGAACTAAATAAATCAAACTCATCTCATCCACATATGAGATTTAATTATCGAACATTTGCCTTGTAAATATACATTACCTGTCCTTAAAATTAGGTCGAAAGAGATTTTATAAAGTTTATTGCGTATGGTAAATTTCAAAACCAAATATTAGTCATACATTACATAAACACTTATCATGAAACAAAAATCTAAAAATGGCTACTTAAACCTTAAAAGAATCTCATTCTTAAGTTGTCTCTCTACTTCAGCAACTTTCACAACCCTTTAAACACTATGTCTCTCAGATTTATAGGACACATTTAGCATTGCTGTGTTGCCTTGATGGAAATGGTAGAATTTAAAAATTTGAGCTCCTCCCAAAGCTGACAGAGAAATTAAAACCATTCCAATAAATGATAACAATATTATTCCCGAGAGAATGGGAGCAGACGCTAAAGACATGCAAGAACTGGCTGCATCTGGATCTTCATTTTGGGCTTCCTCCTCCTCTTTTCCGCATAACCGGACAGATTTCGTGTAATATGGGATCGTTTGGGTGAGAAGTTTCTGGACATAATAATCTCTCGATTTTCCCTCGATTTGCAAAACATGGTATCCCCTCGTGTCTTTGCACCCTTCTAAAGCGTAGAGGACCACGCATTGGCCGTAGGTACGGATGGATAAATACTTTATAACTTCATTATTAGCCAAAGTGACGCAGCCACCGGTAAGGTTGACGTAGGTGGGGTGACCTGAAAATTTACGGGAAATATATATTCAGCTCATATGTAACTGTATATGTAAGGGCGTGCAAAATCGTAAAATTTTGGAAAATCGGATTTTCGATTTATTTCGATTTTTGAAATTTTCGTCAAGCCGGTTTTCGATTAATCGGGCTTTGGAAAATTTTACAAAACCGGTTTTCGATTAATCGGTAGGCTTGGGCAAGATAGATACTTTAAGATACAAGGTACTTCTCGTATCTTGTATCTTCCAGCCGCCTTAGCTCAAAGTATCTTGTATCTGGAAAATCCTCAATGAGTATTTTGTATTTGTATCTTGTACCTGATATTTTCCATCCAGAGGAAAGTATCTAAGATACTTTTTAAGATACAAGATACCTTTTGCAAAATATTTTACCCGCGACATCTAAAGTTCGCTTTTCTTATGATTTATGAGGTAGTAATTGTAATTTTTAAGAAAATATGCGTTTTATTTTTGCTAGTGGAAGGTGTTTTTCAATGTTTTCCTACCTACTCAAAAGTAAAACTTTCATCTTACTGGCGATACCTAAATGGCAAAAATATGAAATTTTATCTTTTTTCAATCTTAAAAAAATCAAAAGTATCTTGTATCTTGTTAAATATTTAAGATACTTTATCTTATCTTGTATCTTTAAAAAAATACTAAAAGGTATCTTTTACTTACAATGGAGGCGCAAACCATGTTCAGCCCAGATTATTTTTTGACCATGTTAGTTTGAAAGAGCAAGTCTTTACAAACAACATTTGGTTCGGCACTTGGGCAGATGCGCAAATTTCAGCACGTTATAGGCGCCGCAAGTTCGCAAAAACGCACGAAGTTGAGCTCGCGCTGGGCATTGGCCGAAAAATCGTGCGTTTTTGCAAACTTGCGGCGCCCAGAACGTGCTGAATTTTGCGCATCTGCCCAAGTGCCGAACCAAATGTTGTTTCTGAAGACTTCCTCTCTCAAACTGACATGGTCAAAAAATAATCTGGGCTGAACATGGTTTGCGCCTCCATTGTTAGTATCTAAGTATCTTGGCAAAAACAGAGAATAAAGTAAAGAACGTCCGGGAATGAATGGGAATGCGCGCTCTAGCGAGTATATTGACAAATCAATAAACCCGCGAACTATAATAATTTAAATTTCTGAAAGCCCACTTCATTAGGGTCAATTTGGTATATCACTCTTAAATTTCAAAAATGGATAAGGGTAGAAGAAGCTTGTTTGAAAGGGAGCTGTTAGCAAAACGAGTGATGGAGTTCTACAACACGACAGCCAACCGAGACTCCAAGGTGACCTGGAACTTTTTTAAGCAGGAAGGAATTCCAAGTTCAAATGTGTATTCCTACATAAAAAAGTTCAAGGATTCCGAAAATGTACAATTCAAGAAGCCAGCTGGTCGTCCGGCGAAGCTAGCGACCACTCGAGTGAAAAATAGAATTGAAAAAATTTTCAAAACCAAGCCATCAACGTCAGTAGCTGTAGCTGCCAGGAAAGTCAAAATTTCCAAAAGCTACCTGGGGGAAATTAAGGTCCATAAATTAGGAATCAAAGCAAGGACCAAAAAACCTGCACCAAATTACAAGCCCGTACAAGAAAGTCGGATCAAGGATTGCTGTCAAAAATTGTTGAAGAAAATGCGTGGAAAAGTAGTGATCCTGGATGACGAAACGTATGTTCCGGTTGACCCTTCAAATCTTCCAGGGCGTCATTTTTTTCATAGCTCGGATCCCTCTGAAGTGGCTTATGAAGAAAAAGTACGAAAAAAAGACAAATTTCCAAAGAAATATTGCATTTGGCAATGCATCTCCAGTCACGGACATGTATCAGACCCGGTAGTTCTCGAAGGGAATATCAATCAAGATATTTATCTGAAAAATTGCGTCAAGGCTGGATTGGAAGCATTTATTAATAGGTTTCACAAAAATGATAAAGTTTTGTTTTGGCCTGACCTCGCCACTTGTCACTATGCAAAGAAAGTGACCGAGTACCTCAGAAAGAAAAATATTGATTTCGTACCAAAAGATATCAACCCACCTAATGTACCCCAACTCCGCCCAATCGAAAAATTCTGGGCACGTTCTAAGTCAGTATACTCCCGGCTTCAAGATGTGCCTGACACCTTTCGAAAATTCAAAGGACGATGGAAGAAAATCACCTCGGAAGTGGCAAAAACTTCGGGAAAAAATTTAATGAAAAATCTTCGCAAGAAAATCGAACTAGTCGCCAACGGGGGTGTGGCGGCCTTAGCTATTAATTAAATTATGTAGGTACGTATTTGGTATTATACATATGCAAAAAGTTTAAAATTCCGATAACTCATTGTGATTTTATGACCACATTTTCAGACCATTCCCATTCATTCCCGGACGTTCTTTATCTTGTATCTAGTATCTTCGATTTTTTTTCAAAAGTATCTTTATCTTGTATCTTGTATCTTAAAACAAAGTATCTTGCCCAAGCCTGTTAATCGGATTTTAGAAAATATTACGAAACCGGTTTTTGATTCGGTGCAAAACCTGTTTTAAATCGGTTTTTAAAATCGGTTTTAGTGCAAATTTTAAAAAGTTTTCAAATATGATAGCTAAAAATTGAATGCAAAATTATATGTTATCCATTAAATTATAATTAATCCAAACTTGGGAATAAGGTTTACAGAACAGTAAATTCTTGTCTCAACGATAAGAAACATTAAGTATTAGCTCGAAAAAGTTTGTTTTATTAAAAGCCGAAAACCGGTTTTCGAGTATGTAAAAACAGGGTTTTTCGAAAACGGTTTTTGACAAACCCGTTTATTTGGAAAATTTTAAAACTGTTTTTTTTTCGGGAAATCGAAAACCGGTTCTTCACCGATAAATCGGTAAAACCGATTTTGGATGCCCTAATCTGTAACAACCAATGCTTATCAATTTTAGTTTAATTTGAGTCCCTGCAACTCACCATAATATCCGTAATAGTCGTAAAACGTGACCATATTTTTTTCCAGGGCTGCTGGAAGTTGATCTGGACTGATGAGGGGCACTGATTTATTGCAAAATGCGCCACATCGAGATACAGCCAATGCCACGCCAGCATAGTTGTATTCGCCGCCCAAATTCCAGCTCATTATGTTGTCAAGCTCTAAATATCCAGGCCGAAATTGGGTGAATTCCCCGCCACAGCTGGGCGCAGAGTGTAGCTCGATGCAAGCATTTGCACCTCCACTGATTTTCATACCAGTTGAGCGCCATGAATGTCGTTTTATTAAGAAACACCCATCCCCATCGATCATGACGGTGGTTGTGAAAGATTCAAAGATTTCGTAAAACTTCGCAAGTTGTGTTGCAACGCTCAATTTGCGAGATCTGCGACGCCAGTATGCTCACTATTTTATAATGTTGCAACTGATGTATTTGTTCATGTAACTTTTTAAAATAATGATTTAAAAGACATTTCTTCAAATATACAACTAGCGAATAAGCCCGTCTAACGACGGGCGATAAATTTCACACTTTGAATGTCTGTCCGCAACGGAAGTAAATTAAATTAAGATAATTGGCGTAATTCTGTTTACAATACAATTAATCCTCAAAATCATCCTTTTGCTTCTAAAAGTGCATTTGAACCCGATTAGTGAACTCATGGAGCAAGAACCCCAAATAATTTTTCTAAGGAGCTAATCCACTCACTACATAAACGTTAACTAGTGTGGTTATATAAAGAAAATAAATACACTATACCTTCAAAGTTATAGTCCTCATAGAAAGTGATCTCCACGACTAGTTTTTCATCTCCCTGCCAATTTCTCGGGTCACACCGGTCAAAACAAGGGCCCACTGACCCAATGCGTAAATCCTCCTTCATCAAATCCTCCCCCACCCACTGGAAAGTTTTTGGATCGTTTACAGTTTCTGGGGACATGCTGGTCCGAATAAACCACCCGGTGCAATTTTCTTTCGGGTAAATGTTAAAACATGCCCCACCCGTTTGCAGGTCAACTATTTTTCCTCCAAACTCGGTTGGCATGGTGGGATTGCAGTACGAAATGTTATAGTGGGTTGAATTTGAATTATCTGGATATTCGCTAAAGAACTTAAGCGCACTATTAATTTGAATAATGCTTGAATTTTTCGCATACGTAGGGATGACAAGAAATATCGATGTTATGGTAAAGTAGTAGAATTTTAATAGATTTGTGGACATGGTTAATGCAAAGTTTAGGATTTTTGAGGTAATTTGTGTTTTAATTGTGGAAAATTAGATCGATATATGGTATTTAGCAGCTGGGATTGGGAGAAATTTTGGAATAAAGAGTGAATATGAGATGAGATATGTAAGTATGTAGATATAAATTAACCACGTGTATATGCAAATGAATTTGGCCATGGTACTGCTCACCTTTGACCTTTTTTGCTATACACAGAGAAAAGTATGAGTTGACGATATAATTTAAGCATGTCAACTCATATTATATCCACGGATGAATAGAAATTAATATGCATTTGTTTATGTAAATACGAGGGGAGGTCGGAAAGTTTCCGGGTTGATCATGATGCCGCAACATATTTATTTCAAATTTATTATTTTGTAGTGAATTTTGAATTGTTTTGTTTATTATTAATTATTTTGTGTTGTCTAGAATCCATAATTTTCGATGACATAATTTATGGATGGCCCAACAACGACAGTGATCTACGTTATAGAGCAAGGGGATTAACGGCAAATAATGTTGTAAGTTTCTGGTTCGTAAATCAATATAATTTTTATTTTAAACATTAGTAATTTAAAAATGCATCCTTTTTCGAGCCATGGGTGTAGTTGCGATATTTATATGTCGAAATTTCGATTTATGTAAGACTTTATCCAATCGTGGTCATGTTGGGCTTTGTTCGAATTCTGTGCAGGATGGCGTTATACACGAGGCGTTGTTGGGTAGCTAAATATTTCCTCATTTCCGAATTAAATGGATCAAAGTGAGAATTATTTTTCTTGGGACGTTAATAACTTCCGTTTTTCTTTTTAATCACGCAATTCATTACGGTTTCGGTGACAGAGACCTAAAGTTAGAGCGACATTTAGCATTTATAGAAACTTTAAGTGTTTACTATTAAAGCAAGCATATGCAGAATAAGAAATAACAAATATTTTTTTGAATTAATTTCAACATTTCAGGTTTTAAAAATTCTGTTACACTTTTAAAAAATGTATCCAGTCTGAATTGTATGTAAATTAAGGGTTCAAACCGAACTCATCTTTGAAAATGTGAACATTCTTTTTAAGATTGATTGCTTTTTGGTAGCATTGGATTGTAAATAATTAAATAGAAATAAATAAAATATCGACGACGCAAAATAGGAAAATGATAATTTTACCTCCAGGAAATCAAGAATTTTGATAAGTTCCTGTCTCGTAGTTTGAACTCTGAAATTTGGGCAATCCGTTGTATATAATTTATTAAATAATTGTTTTAAGAACGAGTAGTCGTAAATCAATTATGTACAGTTGGTGATACGTCGTAATGAACAAATGATCTTGAAAACCCTGAATCCAATTCAGATTGGTTTGTAACCACGAGTCGGCATTCCATGATACGAAGGACGACCAGTCTGCGACGGTAGAATAAATACAAAATTATTTTTTGGTAATTTAAAGAATCCAGAAATTACTAAAGCTTCTGGATACCTTACGTGATTTTTTGACTTTTTTGATAATCAGTTACCAACATTACATACGTTAAATAGGGACTTTAATTTATATCCCATTGTAACCAAACCGGTTTAACTTCACATATTTGGTATCGAGTACATAAACTATTTATTCATTACGGATATTAAATTAATAAATTCATGAATAGGGGGTGTCTAATTTTTTACAAATTTTATGAATATTGCAGAAATATTCACTCATTTCATATATGTAAATGAAGAATAAATGAATAATTTTATTGACTACTCATTTTGCACTCTATGTATGAATGCTTGATTTATCGGGTATATTGAGAAATCCATCCAGTCTGACACATTCGAGATAAAATGATGAAATACGTATTTAGTCTCGAATACTTAAATGAGTAATTAATTTGTTCCAATTTTCAAATTGAATGAATTTTTAAGGAAGAAATATGTAGGTATGTTTCGTGTAAGTATTTATTTAGTTTGTAGAGTCAGATTGTTTTAAGTATTTAAAAATTTAACCCTTTAACTCGTAGCTAAGACAATTATAGTTTTGTAAGAAATAGCTTACTTCTGGAGTAAAACAAAAGTCGTCCTGAAAAATCGTTGTCATGGCGCGGAAGGAAGACAATTGTCGTTTCTAGAAGGTCATTGATTTTCACCATTTTCTCTCCGCGGCCTAAGATTTGTTGAAATTTTGAGGGATTTCTCCTATCCCAAGACAATGCTAAATTTGAAAATTTGCTTACCAAAAATTAGGATATTTCCCAATCTAACGCAATGTTAAATTTTTGATTTTTCAGTTTTATCGAGTTTTATAAAAACTCCTAAATTCCTCGTCTCACAACCATGACCACAACATACTTTAAGTACGTAATAATATTACGTACCCGAATTAATGCATTTTCTTGTAGTCAATGATACTCGTTAAAGGGTTAAGTATTACCGCGTAACTTGGTAAAATTTATGCGACGATGATCAAGAAACTTACGTACATCGTCCTCGGTTCCGTGTGTATGGCTCCATCCCGGCGTGACCCAGGTGTCCGGCAATGTATCGATTGAAGTCGGCGACAATGGCTTCGGCCGGGGTTCGAATGAGTAGAATCGCTTTTTGAAATTGTGCCCGTGCTGTGGTGTTAGATTCGTGCGTTTTAACGACTATGACACGTCCGTCGGTGACACCTTCACCGGGAAAACCATTCTTTAGAAGGGCCTCATCTTTGTACACACTTCCGGTGTAAATTCCTGCAATACGAAATTTATATCTGAGTCTTCATGTAGGATTCAATCGTCAAAATGGGCACATTTTAATCATTTCCTAGCCATGGGAATTTATTTTAAAATTCTGAATGACCAGGTAAATGGGTAAATGTATGAATAAAATGGCGGCGAGTTGTTTTAAACCATTTTCGATTGTTTCAATTTTTCTGAAGGCCTCGTTACCATAAAACTTTCCTAATCTGGAGTGCATAGTTTGATAAAATTTGGAATCACTTTCTCTACAAATCTGTCGTCCAGAATTTTAAAATATGTTCCCAGAAATAATACTGCGAATAACATGAAATTAGGTATCAGAGCATCACTTTAAGGGTGGTAAAAAAAACAACTTTGAAGTATTATTCCTTTACTCACCAGTTGATAGTTGGAGGAGATAGCGAAGCCACGTGTTCCCACTGCCGGGAACGCTGACTAATCCTACCACCAAGGCGGAAGTGGCTTCAACACCTTGCCGGAAATGGAGCCGGACGCATGTATTGATTGGGTCACCCGTGTCGTTAAAAAATTGGTTATGTCGGGACGATTCGTGCCGTGTTGAAATGGATTCTGTATGACTCTTTTGTCTCGAGGTTCTCGAAAACTTGGCATTTCCGGAAATAAAAACGTTAGTGGGGTTTGTTGAAGGTGGAAAGGTGGGGTTGTCCTACGCAAAAATTAAGCAGAATTCATACCTATTCGTTCTAATTGCTTTGGTTGCGTTGATACTTCGTAATTTCACGACAATTTGTAGGACCAAATAGTTACACAACCAGATAAGCAACTTATCGTGAAATTATTAGGTATCCATATACGCAGCTAATGAAAACAAGTAGTAGATCAAGCAATCAAGTAAATTAACGTTACAAGGAACACAAAAAATATTTAAATAATTGCTAAAATAAGGTGTTTACAATATTCTGGGTCATTGCCGCTGTAATTTTCGGAATCAGTATTTGAACTTGAGGAGATAAAAGCTTTACAGGTTTTTTGGATGGTGGCGGGAAGACGTTGTTGAAAATTTTGTGAGCACGTGACGGAGCAACTTTATTCTCAAAAATATAACTTGCCAATTCTCTTGGTGATGCAAAACTCTGTAAAACTCGTTCTCTTCCTGTTTCCTGGTTAAAGAATAAATACAACCCACAATTAGGTAGAATAATGCGACCAATTTCAGAGACAAGGAGATCGACGAGTTGGAACGTTTCGTCATCCTTACTTATGTATTCTGCAAGTTGAGATCAAGGCGGAAAATCTCATAAGGGGCCGTTCATAAATTATGTAGCGGATAACGAGAGGTGAGTGGGGTTACAAGCAGGGTTGCAGAAATCTCATCTCACTGAGATATAATGAGAAATAGTGAGACATGAGAAATATGAGAAATAGCGAGATTTATGAGCCATGCACTAGCGCCACCTAGCGGACGGGGTCATGAACTACAAGTTTATCTTATTATTTCTCATATTTCTCACTCAGCCCCAAGTGAGATGAGTGATATATATCAGTAAATCTCACTAAATCTCACTCAGTGATATATATAACTTGTACCCTGGTTACAAGGCCAATGTTGCACATGTCAAAGAGGGAAGTGGGTGCCTAGAAAATCGCGAAAATTGTTCGTTACGTAATTTATGGACGCCCCGTCAGTGTTAAAACAATCTGTGCTTTTTGCGACTTGGGACAAGTTTTGAACTTCAATTTGTTTAGTAAATGTGTGGAATTATACAGGTTGGCTGA